TAAAGAATATGATTAGGCAATTCACAGAAAGGGAAAATAAATTACTTATAAGTGTGTGAGATGATCTTCTGAGGTTAAAAAATGCATATTAAAACAATAAGATACAGAAAAAGTAAGTCAAAGGACCAAGACTACCTGACTTCAAGACTTACTTTAAAGCAACAGTAATTAAGACAGTGTGGTATTGGCAACAGAATGGACAAATAGATCAATGGAACACAATAGTATCTGAAAGTGATAAAGAAAAAAAAGGCTATGGAATCTGCTTGAGATTTTATTTCAGGTGTGTGGAAAAACAATTTGAGCAAATTTAATGGGGAATAGTAAATGAGAAAAAAGTTACTTCTTGCTTGCACTGGACCAAGTGGAATTCAATAAAATACTGGTTACACATATTTTATCTACTAGATACAAAGAAAGAATGGTTAATAAGCAGTTTGAGAAAAAGAACAGTAAGAGCAACAACAAGAATAGTGAATATTGCCCTGGCTGGGTAGAGTATTGTCCAGATATGCCAAGGGTGTGGGTTTGATCCCTGGTCAGGATATGTACAAGAAACACAATGAATGCATAAATAAGTAGAACAACAAATTGATCTCTCTCTCTCTCTCTCTCTCTCTCTCTCAAGTCAATAAATAAATATTTTTTTAATTTTTTAAAAGAATAGCTCATGTTTATAGAGTGTTCAATACCTGCCTGATACTTTTCTAAGTCTTTAAATATATTAACTCATTTAATCCTCTTCACTTCACGAGATACCATAGTTATAACCCCCATTTTTAGATGGAGAAACCAAAGCAGTTGTGCAAAAAGCCCATGATGCCTAATCTAGATTTAATGTCTGATCTAATTGCAGTTTCAACCTCTCCCAGAAATATAACCTTAATCAACCAGTTTGAAATCAACCAGCTCCAGCCAGGCAATGTCACATGGGCCCCCTCCCTTCCCCATAGAAAAAAAGAAGCAATCTGCATGATAAAAACAAAAACAAAAAACCCTCTTCTCTATTCTTTCCCTAAATAAAAGATGTCCCTGACCAAAAATAATCTTTCCTTTGTCATTAGGTCCCTTGTCCCACCCTTCTTTCTATAAAAACCTTCCATTTTGCACAACCCCTCAAAGCAGCCTTTTGTTTGCTAGATGGGATATTGCCTAATTCATGAATTGCTTAATAAAGCCAATTAGTATATCCAAATGTACTCAGTTAAATTTTGTCTTTAATCTTTTGTTTTTTTAAACTCAGAATTGTTCCTTTCCACAGAAATCTTTTTGTTTTCTGCCTTTAAAAAAAAGTTTATTGTTGAGTATTACAGATGTCCCCTTCACCACCCTATTGTTTATGTTCATAGGTAATATATACATTCATATAAGATCTTTGGTTAGCCCTAACCGGTTTAGCTCAGTGGATAGAGCGTCAGCCCTCGGACTCTAGGGGCCCAGGTTTGATTCCAGTCAAGGGCATGTACCTTGGTTTCGGGCACATCCCCAGTAGGAGGTGTGCAGGAGACAGCTGATCGATGTTTCTCTCTCATCGATGTTTCTAACTCTCTATCCCTCTCTCTTCCTCTCTGTAAATTATCAATAAAATATACTTTTTTTAAAAAAATCTAAAAAAAAAAAAAAGATATTTGGTTAATCTTTTTCCACCCTCCACCCCCTGAAATTCATCCAAAATATACTTTTTTTAAAAAAATCTAAAAAAAAAAAAAGATATTTGGTTAATCTTTTCCCACCCTCCACCCCCTGAAATTCATCCATCTGTTTCATGTTTTCATGCTTCTGGTTCTATTTTATTCATTGGTTTATTTTGTTCATTAAATTTCTTGTTCATTTATTTTGATTTTTAGATTCAATTGTTGATAAATATGTATTTATTGGCATTTTATTGTTCATATTTTTAATCTCTTCTTCCTTTTTTAAAAATTTTTGTTGTTGTTGTTAATCATCACCTGAAGACATCCTTCCTTTGATTTTTAGGGAGAGTGGAAGAGAAAGGGAAAGACAGAAACATCAATGTAAGAGAAACACATTGATTGGTTGCCTCCTGAACAATCCTGTGGGCTGGGGAGGAGCCTGCAACCAAGGTACATGCCCTTGACCGGAATCGAATCCGGGACCCTTTGGTCCACAGGCCAATGCTCTATTCACTGAGCCAAACCAGCTAGGGCACTTCTTCCTTTTTTTAAAGAATACCCTTCAACATTTCATGTAAACTGATTTAGTGTGAACTCCTTTAGCTTTTTCTTGTCTGTGAAGCTCTTTATCTGCCCTTCAATTCTAAATGATAGCTTTACTGGGTAATCTTGGTTGTAGGTCCTTGCTCTCCATCACTCTGAATATTTCTTGCCACTCCTTTCTGGCCTAAACACTTAATCTGTGGAATCTGATGCAATCTTGAAAAAGAACAAACTTGGAGGTATCACACTCCCTGATTTTAAACTATATTACAAAGCTATAGTGATCAAAACAATGTGGTATTAGAGAGCTTGCTTTCCAGCATCATCATCAGTTTGGCTCAAATAAAATCTTACAGAAAAACAATGTGGTAACAAACAAACAAAAAACAACAACAATGTGGTATTGACATAAAAACAGACACATAGATCAAGAAACAGAATAGAAAGCCCAGAAATAAACCCTCACTTTATATGGTCAGTTAATCTATAAGGAGGTAAGAATACACAATGGAGAAATGATGGTCTCTTCAATAAGTGGTATAGGGAAAACTGGACTAGATTTTTAGAAAACTCACTACCTGCTGAAAACCCATGGGTGGCTTCCTCTGCTCTTAGCATGGTCAGCAAGGCTCTGGGCCAACCTGCTTCCCCACCTCCCTTTCTGGCCCTGCCCCCAGGCCTCTAGGAGGCTGGGGGTCACTGCTGCCACTCTGCTCTCACCCAGGAGTGACTTCCTCCTAGAACCTTCCTTGACCTTGTTCAGGTCAAATTCCCATTGCCATTTCCCAAAGAACCTCGAGCTTCTCAAAAAACAATGCAGTTATAAAGTCACTGCCTCTTAGATCCGATTAATGCCCCAACCAGATTGTAATCTCCTGGAGGGCCAGGCCCTTCTGTTATCAGAGGTTGGTAAACTTACTCCAACCCACCCACAGCAGCAGAGACCCCTTTCCCCAGAGGTCCTTGGTCCCTGGAGTCCAGGCAGAGAGTCCCCTGGAGCTCAGGAGGGGAATGAGATCAGTTTGGGCTCTCCTAGGAGCATTCACACCAGCTTGGAACCTTCCCCTTCTCTTCTCCACTCAGATGAATCCTGGGGAGGGGAAGTGATTGATGGGTCTTGATTTTCTAATTAGTAAAATGGTAATATTGAGAGAATTGAGTTAATGCACCAGGTGGTTTGAGTTCCACTGGCAATCAGTGTTGTCTATTGCTAGCCACTTATAAACCAAAGGATTTCACTAGATTGGGTTTCATTTTTGTTTACAGTCCTACATACAATCATTCATTGCCCACTGACTCTGAAGGGTGCACTAGCTGAGGGTAACTTGAGGGTCCACAACTGTTGGTCCACAAAGCAGACTCCATCACGAAGTACTAAAGACAGGAAGACTCTTCACCTAACAGCCTAGCAAAAAAAAGTTTGCCAGTTGTCTCTGGGTGAGGTTGTGGGGAAAGAGGCAATCTTATATATATTGTTGCTGAGTGTGAAATTATTTCAACCCCTTTGGAAGGCAAGTTAGTAGCATCTAGCAAAATTATATATGGTCTTTCCCTTTGGACCAGCATTCTGTGAATTTAGCCTATAGTTGTCTGATAGACATGCCATCAGAAGACATCTCATTATTAGTCTTCTCTTCCATTATTGGTCAATCTCTAAGAATAGTCAACACTTGCTAGAGTGTGATGCTTGTTTTAAGTTCCCTACCTGTATTAACAGCTAACCCTCACAACTTCATGTGGAGTCAGATGCTATTATCTTCAATTTGGAGACTGAGAGGATAGAACAACTTGACTAAGGTCATAGGGTCAGAAAGTTCCCCAAGTGGGACTCATTTTGGTTTGGAACTACTAAGCTAGTCTCTTCTAGGGAAAACTGTAGTCCCCATTCTGATGAACCCTCGACAAATCAGGGGTGATCCCTACCTAGAATAATGCCTTTATCTACCTGCAATTTCACATACCCTTTGGGAACCCCTGTAAGTGTGGTAGAGAACCCCAAAGCCCCTTTCAAGAGGTCTGTTAGGTATGTGGAAAAGGAGAACCTATCTGTAAGGCTGAATTTTCTTCAAATTTCACCTAAATAACATTCTGCAGCAGACTGAAGATGAGAACCGAATGAGTTTACAAGGATATAAAACTGCTATACTAACAAGTTATTGACACTTCTGTATTTGTTATACAGAATAGTTGCTTTTCATTGTATACATGTTATGTTAATCTATTATAGGGCTATTATTTTTTTAATCTTACCTGAGGATATTTTTCCCATATGGTTTTTTTAGAGAGTGCAAGGGAAGGAGGGAGGGAGGGAGAAAGAGAAAGAGAAACAGATGTGAGAGATACATTGATGGATTGGTTGCCTCCCACACAGACAACCAGGGCCAGGGATCAACCTGCAACCCAGGTACCTGCTCTTGACTGGGAACTGAACCCAAGACTGAGTTGCAGGCCAACGCTCTAACTACTGAGCAACACAGGCCAGGGCAGAGCGATTATTTTTGAGTCAGTTCCAAACCATATCACATCTCCCCTAGATTGACCGGTTTTTGGTTGGAGATTTATCTCAAAACTTTGCTCCTAGACACCTGCCCTTTTTATATATATATATATATATACCCTAGCCAAGTGTGTTCTTGGACCTCTACACTTAGCTTTGGGTGGGGGAGGGGGGTTTCATTTAAGGCTTAAGTACAAGGTCCACCTTAACTATAGATATTACCTCCAACCACACGTCGAGGAACTGTTTTAACATTTTATTCGTTAATTAGCAACCTTGGGAAAAAGTTACATCAGGACTCATGAGGCCAATGCAAAAACCCCCAACAAGCTGTTTTCCCTTGTTCCGCGGGGAGCAGACCCACAGCCTCCTGTCCACATCCTGGTCCCCGGTCCGCCGGGTGCAAACGCTTCCCTTCAGCTAAAGGCCGAGCTCGAGGGCACTCATGGCGTCCTCGAGTCTGAGCATCCCTGGATCAGAAGACAAAGGCGGGCGTGGTGAGGAAAGGGAGGCAACAGCCTGGCCAGGTCCCGGCCCAACGTTCCGGGCCTGGGATCCTCAGGGACCTCGGAACGTGGAAGCACTGGGCCCATTCCAACCACCTCCGAGGAACTGGGGGGTGGGCAGGGTTGCGATCTCAGATAACCCCACCCGATTAGACCAACCCGGGGCCACCTCCCATCCAAGTCTCACCCCAGGGCCCCGAGGACCAGCCCACGGGCCTCCCCAAGGCGCCCAGGACCAGCCCAACACCGAGGGCCCGAATGGCGGTGGTTGCAGGGGGCACAGGAAGCAGGGGTGCGGAGGGCTGGGAGCGGGGGTGTGGGGTGAAGCTGCCCCTCCCCGCCCCCGCCCCCCAGCACCGGGCGAAGGCTTCTCACCTCGCTCCTGCCTCAGGCGGTGCCTCTCGGCCATGGACTGGAGCATCCACTTGGTTCGGAGCTTGTATAAGTAATTGCCGTAAACCACGACCTCGGTGAGGTTCGAGGATTCCAGAACCTTCAGCTCGAGCATGGCTCTGCTCACTTGCTCGATGTATGGGATTCGAGATCCTCCGGGGCCTACGTGAGGGAAGAAGATGGAGCGTTCAAACACCCCCCTCCCCCACGGGAGGCCCAGACGCCCGCCCGCCCGTCCTGGTGGAGGCACCCCAGTCAGGACTGGGCTCCCTTACCAAACATGGCTTCCAGCAGCGCCGTCTGGACCTGCAGCACCTCCGGATCTCGCAAGTCCTCGGGGACTTTAACCCACGGGGGGATATCTTTCCGTCTCGGCATAGGGCCCGCCTGGAGGCCCAATCCGGGGCTCACATCGCCCTGCTCGCCCCGCCTCCTGCCTGCACTCGGATCTAGCAGGTGACCTCCTGTACCTTCCCGAGCGCTGGTGGGCCCAGCTGTCCCCAAGTTCACAAGGTTACGAGGGTTTCCACCTGCATTGACTCTTCCGCACCAGAAACCCTGGGCCTTGGGAGTTCGCGGGACAAAGGCGCTACTCGTGCCCCAGGAACGAGTGGTTGGGCCTGAACCCCAGAAAGTGGAAATCCAGGTTTAAGGGTGCGAGAACCACCCGGGAGCTGCCAATCGAGTTTCAGCCTTTCGGCCTTCCACGTTCCAAAGGAGGGTCCGTTTCCTTCTCTGAGGGTTGGATCCTGGGTCTTCACATCGCAGGTGTGAATTCTGGGGCCTCAGGAATCATTCCTGTCACTTAACAAAGAGGAAACGAGATTTAAAAATTCATTATCGTTAAGGGACTCTAAAGTGCTCCCACTGTTCCAGTTCCTTGAAGCCCCTGAGCCTGGAAATTTTGAATCTACTATTTCGAAGCTCATCTGGCTCTGCCTGGCCACTAGAACCGAACCGTATGGTCCAGACCTCTGGCTCTAAATAAACTGCTTTATTTATTTTTTAAAATATATTGCTTGAAGCGATGTACTGGGTTCACCCAATGAGGGTATGATTTCAGTGTTTTCGGGCTTCACAGATGGAGATGAAGCTGGGTCTTCCCAAGGCCACCTTCTGGGAACTTCTACCTAATAATCCCTCAGCTGGCTATTATGACCATGGCTTATTTGAAAAGTCATATTTTCTTTCCTGAAAATTATAAAAACCAAACCTTTAGTTCTTTCTTAGGCTTCCAAGTTTCACTTTCAAACCTTATTATCCCATTCATAAGCATAGAAAGTTGGATTTTTGTGTTTTTAACCCTCACCTGAGGACATGCTTAGAGAGAGGAAAAGAGAGAGAAAGAAACATTGATGTGCATCAATTGGTTGCCTTCCACACAACCAGGGATGGAACCCCGCAACCCATGTATGTGCCTTGGCAACCTTTCCATGCACAGGATGACCTTCAACCAACTGAGCCACTCTGACCAGGCAGAAAGTTTTGTTTTTTAATATATTTTTATTGATTTCAGAGAGGAAGGGAGAGGGAGAGAGAGATAGAAACATCAGTGATGAGAGAGAATCATCAATGGGCTGTCTCCTGCATGCCCCACACTGGGGATTGAGCCCACAATCTGGACATGTGCCCTTGACTGGAATTGAACCTGGGACCCTTCAGTCTGAAGGCCAATGCTCTAGCCACTGAACCAGGCAGAAAGTTTTAACAATTACATTTAATGGTCTCTATCACAGGTTCCACTGACAAATTTAATTAACTAAATATTCTCATACATGGTAAAGAGCATTGCAAGGTACTTTAAGCCTCAAAAAACTTCCCAATTACCAAATAATTCCTATAAATCAAATAAATACAATTTATTAATATGTTGAACCTGAATTTCTCTTCAGAAATCCAATACTGCATATAAACTAATATTTCATCTTAAGCCACATATCTAAATCAATTACTTATATATTTCAAATTGGAATTACAAAACTATTTCTCTAATATGTTAAATTATCTAAAATATTACAGGAAAATAAAATACCATGCATATGGATTCCTTCTTTTTTAGCCACTTTGAAGAATACAGTACAATAAACTGCTTATACTAAAATGTGTACTATTTGACCAATTTTGACATATAGATACATCCAGTGGAACCTTCACTATAATCAAGATAATGCATATTTCCATCATCCCCAAGTTTCCTAGCGTCTCTTTCTAATCCCTTCCTCCTTCCATCCCCTTTCCCAGGCAATCACTTCCTGCTTTCTATCACTATAGATTAGTTTTCATAGTCTAGGATTTCATTTAAATATAGATTCTTTTTTAACATAATTACTAATACTATGGTTTTAATTCTCTTAAATATTTCTATACCCAATTTCTGAAACTTCAAGGAAGTAAAAAATCTACTCACACACACAAATGACAACAATATGCATAGAACTGCAAGTATCCTTATCTCAACTAAGGGGAAATATTATCACCCTATATCATTTTGGTAGCAGAAACAGATTTCAGACTAGAGATTGTCATGGAGATGCTTCCTGGATTTGACCCTTCAAATCCGATAGGACCTCAGATTTCAATTTATAGTTGCTGTGTTAATGACTCCATAGCTCCAGGGGAGGCAGTCATGGAGCCCAGATCCTTGGGTTTCAGTTATACATTCATCTAATTCTTCTGCCTACCCACAGGAGTTTATAAGTCCATCCTGTGACCTTTTGTTTTGTTTTGTTTTGTTTTTTAATCATGTTTCTTTTATTTTTTTATTGATTTCATAGAGGGAGAGATTGAAACATCAATGATGAAAATCATTAATCGGCTGCCTCCTGCACCACCACCCCAGGGACCGAGCCCCCCTAAGCAAGTGCCTTTGACCAGAATCGAACCAGAGACCCTTCAGTCCCCAGGCTGACACTCTCTCCACTGAGCCAAACCATTCAGGGCAATCCTGTGACCTTTTGAATTGATGTTGCCTTTCTTTGGCTCCTAATGCATATTCTGCTTAGGTCTCAAGACTGTGGACCATGTCAAACACCTACAAACTTCTCATGCACTTCTTTGGCCAACAGATCTCCATGGAGGATTCAAGGATGAGCCTGAATTCTGAGGGTCTCAGCCCGCTGGGCCTGGGCATGATACCCAACTACTGATGTGAGATCTAAATAACTTCATCTTCCTGAGTAGCAGATAACAAGTAACGCTTTAAGCTGGGCAGAAAAATCGAGAAATGGAAATGTAATTGTGTTAGAGAATTAAGACATCAAAAATTTCAAGGGACTCCCCTCTAACGTCCAAACCACACGGACCACCTGCTGTTGGCTGTGTTCAGCTGTCTCTGGCAGGTTAAGGAAGAAACTGGAAATGTGCTGGCTCTGGGTAGGAAACTCATTGGTCAGGGGTTCAGGAGGAAGTGGGAGACTTTAGCCCTTGAATACTATTTTACCCTTTGAATTTTTGCTCTTTTTTTTTTTTTTGGTGTGTGTGTATTTAATTAGTTTTCCATTAGAAAGTTATCCCAACTCCTCAGGAATGCTAAAATGGCCCCATTAGAACTGTCTGAAAAGCACCCGGGTCCCTGAAAATATCAGTTTGCTTCTCTGCGGATATTGTCCTGCTGTTGGATCTTCCCTTCGACCCTAGAGCTCCGCCTCTCCCTCCCGGAGTGCGGGGAGGAGGGAAGGAGGGAGGGGCGGGCCCCGTCGGAACCCGCGGGCAATAGAGCGCACCTGTGCCGTCTCGGATCGACGCCGGCTGCGGACCGCTAGGCCTGGAATCCAATGAGCAGGGCGCGATGGGGAGGAGCTTGCCACGGCCCTTATAAGAAGGCCCGGGCCCATGAGCCGCTGCCGTAGCCAGGCCCACTTGCACCAGCTCAGTCTGCGTGGCCCGCCGCAGCATGGCCACCACCAAGCGCTTTCCCACGCTCGTGCAGCTGGAGCAGCGGGGCGGGGCGCCATTCCAGGTGCTGGGTGACAACGCCAAGCAGCCCTACTGGTTCCACACGGAGTACCTCAAGAGCCCGAAGATGGTTCACCTCGAGGCGTGGCTGGTGGAAGCGATCTTCGGTGAGTGGCCGGAGAGGGGAAGCCAAGGCGGCCTCCTTTCCCCAGCTCCCATCACCCAGCCTCACCGCACCTGGGGGCAAGCCTCCTCTGTGGCCCTGGCAATTCTCCCCCTCCCGACACCTCCCCTTCCTGTGCGCCCCTCACGGCCTTTCTCCCTCCTGTGCAGGCCCCGGCGGAGAGCACATTCCGCATGTCGAGTGTGTGTCGCAGACCCTGCTTCGCATTAACCAGTGGGACCCCGAAGGCGAGGCTGAGATCCTGATCTTTGGCCGGCCTTCTTACCAAAAGGATGTGTCCAAGATGATCATGAACTTGGCTCACTATCACCGCCAACTCCGGGCACAAGGTAGCGGGCCGGGAATAGTGAGGGGAAGCCTGGGCAGACCTTGGCTCACTTGGGAGGGATCCTGATGCGTCCTGGGTGTGGCCGGGCAGCGGTCTCGTCCTCTTAGTCCGCCGGGAATGGGCTTCCTCTTTGCAAAGCATCTAGAAGCCCAAATGGACCCCGTGCTCTCAGATTTCGGCCCCACCCCTGCAGCCCTTACGGGTGACTCCTGTGGGGGGGAGAGTATGGGGACACAGGTGCAGCCTCCTCACCTGCTCTTCTTCCAGGCTCGCTGAAGAACGCTGCCCAGCAGGCCGAGCCACGGAATTTCTCCGCTGCAGTCCGGGTGGCTGCGCTCCAGGCCTCCCCCGACAAAGTCCGAGTGGCCAAGAGCCAGCGGTCCCCCGACGCTAAGTCCAACCCACGTAATTTTTTAAAATTTTGAACGGTGAAGGCGGGACCACAGTTAACTCGATGGTGCAGGTGAGAGCTCCAGGAAGGCGGGGCACGTGGTACGGGAGCTAAGCCAGAGGATGGACATAACCAGCTCAGGGACAGCGGCGCCAGGAATAAACGCTGCCAGTTCCAAGTGAGAGCACGTGGTGTAGCCGACAATGGAGGCGTGCAAACGGCTGAAAGGATGTGTCCAAGATCATCATGACCTTGGCTCACTATCACCGCCAACGCCGGGCACAAGGTGCGCTGAAGAACGCTGCCCAGCAGGCCTCGCCACGGAACTTCTCCGCTGCAGTCCAGGTGGCTGGGCTCCAGGCCTCCCCCGACAAAGTCCGGGAGGCTGCGACCCAGCAGTCCCCCGACTCTGTTCAAGAGAAGGCAAACCAATGGTCCCCCCAAGCTGTCCAAGACAAGACGACCCAGCGGTCGCCCGAAACTGTTCAAGAGAAGGCGACCCAGGGGTCCCCTGATGCTGTCTGGGAGGCGGCGACCCAGCTGTTCCCCAACACAGTCTAGGAGGCGGCGACCCAGAGCTCCCCCAACACTACCCAGAGCCCGTACCCAGGTTATGAAGGCATTTCGGGGCCTCGGAGCGCGAGCCAGGCAAGGTTCAAGTGAAAACCCCTCTCTGGAGCCCTATTCTAGGTCCTGCTTCTGCAGCAGAAGCTGGAGAAAGTAAAGGGTGGTGTGGGTTGTTCTTGGTTTCCCCTCCCCACCCCCATGTTAAATGTTTGCAAGCACAAATCTAAAGTTGTAACAAAAGAATCGAATTTCCTTAATAAAGAATTGAATGACCTACCCTCTGTTGTTTGGCAGGTAGAAGGGGAGGCAATATCAGCTCTAGGCTTCTTTCTGTCTGCAAGCAGGTGAGACCTGTTGGATTTCTAGCGGCCAGAGGTGACAGGCTGGTGCTTCCCTCATGCTCCTTGACCGCACACACCTGGCTTTGCCCACGGAGCGGCCCCTCTGGCCCAAGGAGTCTGCCCTCACTGGGAAACCTCTCCAAACCTGGGGTGGGGCACCCTTTGTCACTGTTAAAATTGAAGTATGTTTGAAATACAATGTAAGTTTCAGGTATGTAACATGTTAACTTGATACATTATGAATGCCATTGTAGCGATAATTAGCAACTTTGTCAGATTTGGCTTCTGGCTCCAGGCAGCTCCAACACCAGATGCCTGCTAGAAGGAAGCAAACTGTTAATAGCTGGGTGCTGGGGTTAAAAGACAAGAGCAAGCACCAATCTTAGTGTTAGGAAAACTTTCATTTGTGCTCAGTGATCATCCTCCCATGCACCTAGGTCAGTTCCATTGGATTCTTTCAGTACACAAGCCTGGGTTTGGGGCTCTAGCTCCAGGAGGGGGCATACAGGAAGCAGCCAATTGCTATTTCTCAGATGTTTTTCTCCTTCGCCCTTCCTCTCTAAAATAAACATTTAAAAAATTAAGACACAAAAAAACTTCAAGTCCTAGCCAGTTTCGCTGAGTGGATAGAGCTTAGGCCTGCGGACTGAAGGGTCCGGGGTTCAATTCTGGTCAAGAGCACCAACCTCGGATTCCTGGCCCTGGTCAGAGTGCATGAGGGAGGCAACCAATTGATACGTCTCTCACATCGATGTTTCTCTTTCTGCCTCTCCCCCTCCTTCCACAGTCTAAAAACAAAAGTCAATGGAAAAATATCCTCAACTGAGGATTTGAAATAAATTTTAAAAGGGAACTTCACTTTAAAGATCAGGGCAGTGGTATGTCTGTCATAGGCCCTTTGGTTACCACTAATAGGTGATCACTGTGGACGAAAGGGGCCATATGCTAACCTGACAAGCTCAGGGAAGGCCTACATGGCTGTCTTGCAAACTCAGAGACCTAAAGTAACCACAAAGGATGGTCTGAAATTAAACTAAAATCAGTTATGGTGGGTAGTTAATGTCCTAGGCCAGTATCTTCACTGACAAGGTCAACCTTTACCTTAACTGAGCCTGTCTTTTTGTACCTATGATAACATACTAGTATCCTTGAAATGTCTGGGTAATTTGTAACGTCCCTTTTTCCAGACCCCTTGGGGCACAACATAATGTGATTTTAGAGAAAGGGGAAGGGAGAGAGAAAACAAAACAGACTGGGTGGCTTAAGCAACATTTATTGTTCTCAAAGTTCTAGAGCAGTGGTTCTCAACCTTCCTAATGCCCGAGTCCCTTTAATACAGTTCCTCAGGTTGTGGTGACCCCTAATTTCATTGTTACAAATTGAACATAATTAAAGCATAGTGATTAATCACAAAAATATGTAATTATATGTTTTCTGATGGTCTTAGGCGACCCCTGTGAAAGGGTCGTTCGACCCCCAAAGGGGTCGCGGCCAACAGGTTGAGAACCGCTGTTCTAAAGGCTAGAAGTCCAAGATCAAGGTATTCCCAGGTTTGGTTTCTTCTGAAGACTCTCTTCTTAGCTTGCAGATGGCTGCCCTCTTGCTATGTATGTCTTCACATGAGCTTTCCTCTGTGCTCAACCTATCTTGTGTCCATATTCTTCTTCTTATAAAGACACCAGTTATACTAGGAAAAGGCCCACCCATATAGCCTTATTTTACCTTTATTAACTCTTTATAGGCCCTACCTCCAAATACACTTATATTTGGAAGTAATGGGGGGTAAGAAGTGCAGAATCATTTAATAATTTAATTTTTATTAATCTGGGGAAAATTGGAATAAATTTTAAGTATAACCCTCTTCCTCCAAATACCAGTCCAAAATGTTCAATGGTTTTGAGAAATCCCAATAGGAAAACCTGCAGGAATATTTGTCAGATTTCTACAGAATACCCTGGCTGGTGAGGCTCAGTGGTTGGCACATCGCCCCAGAAGGTAGCAGGTTTGATTGTCGGTCATGGCACATACCCAGGTTGTGGATTTCTCCCTGATCAGAGCAAGTGTGGGAGGCAACCAAACGATGTTCTCTCACACCGATGTTTCTCTCCCCCTCTCCCATACCTCCCTTCCTCTCTAAAATAAAATAAAAAAATCTACAGAATAAGAGCAAGCAGGAGTTCCTAAGCTTAAAGTAAGGATGAGGGCCCCAATAGCATGGGGTTCAGTGGTTGAGCATCGGCCCATGCACCAAGAGGTTGCTAGTTGGATTCTAGGTCTGGGCATACGTCTGGGTTGCAGGCAAGATACCCAGTAGGGGGCACGAAGTAGGCAGCTGATCAATGATGTTTCTCATAGATGTTTTTCTCTCCCCCTCTCCCTCTAAAAATCAAAACTTTTTTTTTAAAAGGATGAGGGGAAAGCACACAGAAAACAATAATTGGTTTAACTACATATAACAATTTCTCTCATGCAAAAAAAAAATTAGTTCTAATGGACCAAAAATGAGAAGCAAACTAGGAATATGATCATTATCACTTGTAATCAAAGACATATTTTAAAAGACACGTGTGTGTTTAAAAACCCTTGCAAACAGCTAAAATCCTTTACTACTAAGGGGTAAAGAAAGTGCAGGAGTTAAATCAACTCAAACTTTGTGTCTGAAGCTGCCGAGCTCTTAGCCACCTCTCCCCCCAAGAAATCTGCTTCCTGAAAGTGGAGACAGCAAGGGTTTAAGGTTGTTTTGCACAATTTGTTCATAACTATTTCCCTGGTAATAGAAAAACAAATCCCCTGGTTCAGGACACCTTTGCAGGCCAGTGTGTGTGTATGGGAGGGAGGGGGGAGCGGGAAGCGGAGCCAGCCAGCCTGGGGACAGAACACCTTCTGTGGGACAAACTGCCCAGGATCACAGTTCTCCAGTGAATCTCAGCACCAGCAGAATGAATGCTGATGGCTTAGCTTTCCTGTTAGAATACCCACTCGTGCAGAGAGGGAGGCACCCCTCTAGAACAGTGGTTCTTAACCTTGGCTGCACATTAGAATCACCTGGGAATCTTTTTAAATATATTTTATTGATTTTTCACAGAGAGGAAGGGAGAGAGATAGTTAGAA